ACAATCAAAGAGCACTCTGAACTCCACCATCGATGGAACTGAAACAAACGGCACACAGGACTCCCATGACCAACAGAAAACACTAGCAGGGTTTGGTGGGCATTGATCTTGAGTTTGGGAGTTGTAGTTCACCTACATCCGTGGACTCAAACAATGATGGATCAAGATCAAAATTGGCACAAATACTCAATATATCCAAATGTGAACACTGGTGGAGTTTGGGGAAAATAGACCTTGACATTTGGGAGTTGTCGTTGCTGGGATGTATGGTTCACATACAATCAAAGAGCACTCTGAACTCCACCATCGATGAATTGAAACAAACTTGGCACACAGGACTCCCATAACCAACAGAAAACACTAGCAGGGTTTGGTGGGCATTGATCTTGAGTTTGGGAGTTGTAGTTCACCTACATCCGTAGACTCAAACAATGATGGATCAAGATCAAAATTGGCACGAATACTCAATATGCCCAAATGTGAACACTGGTGGAGTTTGGGGAAAATAGACCTTGACATTTGGGAGTTGTCGTTGCTGGGATTTATAGTTCACCTACAATCACAGAGCATTCTGAACCCCACCAATGATAGAATTGGGTCAAACTTCTCACACAGAACTCCCATGACCAACAGAAGATACTGTGTTTTCTGATGGTGTTTGTCGACCCCTCTGACACCCCCTCGTGACCCCTCCAGGGGTCCCGACCCCCAGGTTGAGAAACACTGCCATAGATGATCTTTGTGGCTTTGAAAAATCCCTGAGCATCATGGGTATCTGCCAGGTGTTGGATGTCTTCAGCCTTCTTTGTCCATCAGATGTTCTTGAGTTCTCTTGTCCTTCTTTGGACCTCAGCTTTTGCACTGGCGTAGACCTTTTTCTAAACCGCCTTGAGTTGCTGAGAAAAGCAGCATCCAAATACAGTAAATAAATAAATAGCAGCACGGTTGACTTTCCTGTAGGAAACGAGAAACAGAGGCTTTGTTTTGTCAACACTTTCTGGGCCCGATTCCTGCTTCTTTGCTCTCTGCGTCATCCGGCAAAGTGGGAGTCTTATCTGATTTAGCAGCATCAGATGGCAGCGGGTTTGGAGACATCAGCCGCAGCAGCAGCAGCTGGGAAGCAAGACTCCATAGAAAGGCCTTTGGAAATGCCCAGAGGTGGAGCTCCTGGTGGACCTTCCAAAAAAAAATTTCCCTTCAATGCCTACATTACTAGCCTTGCAGAAGGAGACTTTCAGGATCATTCACACCTTCAGCTTCTCTATCTTTTGCCATCATTGTTATTACTTACTTACTTACTTACTTACTTAGGCAATCCCTCGTAGCTCAAGGATGATTGTCTTCCAGATGTGGTGTCTTGGTGGTGGGTCCATAGGTGGCTGTGGAGTCCTACTCTTGATCCGCATGTTCTTCCTCAGCAAAGTATACTTTCTGTATATATTTCAGATTTCATAGAATCATAGAATCAAAGAGTTGGAAGAGACCTCCTGGGCCATCCAGTCCAACCCCATTCGGCCAAGAAGCAGGAATATTGCATTCAAATCACCCCTGACAGATGGCCATCCAGCATCTGTTTAAAAGCATGGGCCACCCAGTCCAACCCCTGGCCAAGAAGCAGGAATATTGCATTCAAATCACCCCTGACAGATGGCCATCCAGCCTCTGTTTAAAAGCTTCCAAAGAAGGAGCCTCCACCACACTCCGGGGCAGAGAGTTCCACTGCTGAACGGCTCTCACAGTCAGGAAGTTCTTCCTCATGTTCAGTTGGAATCTCCTCTCTTGTAGTTTGAAGCCATTGTTTCGCGTCCTAGTCTCCAGGGAAGCAGAAAACAAGCTTGCTCCCTCCTCCCTGTGGCTTCCTCTCACATATTTATACATGGCTATCATATCTCCTCTCAGCCTTCTCTTCTTCAGGCTAAACATGCCCAGCTCCTTAAGCCGCTCCTCATAGGGCTTGTTCTCCAGGCCCTTGATCTGCTCCCTCCTCCCTGTGGCTTCCTCTCACATATTTATACATGGCTCTCATCATATCTCCTCTCAGCCTTCTCTTCTTCAGGCTAAACATGCCCAGCTCCTTAAGCCGCTCCTCATAGGGCTTGTTCTCCAGGCCCTTGATCTGCTCCCTCCTCCCTGTGGCTTCCTCTCACATATTTATACATGGCTCTCATCATATCTCCTCTCAGCCTTCTCTTCTTCAGGCTAAACATGCCCAGCTCCTTAAGCCGCTCCTCATAGGGCTTGTTCTCCAGACCCTTGATCATTTAGTCGCCCTCCTCTGGACACATTCCAGCTTAGAGTCAATATCTCTCTTGAATTGTGGTGTCCAGAATTGGACACAATATTCCAGGTAAAGTGGTCTAACCAAGGCGGAATAGAGCATGGGGAGCATGACTTCCCTGGATCTAGGCACTACGCTCCTATTGATGCAGGCCAAAATCCCATTTGACATATTAATGTCAAAAATACGTAGTATGATTTTACATAGAAGAACTGGTCCAAGAGTCCAGAAGAGCCTTGACTCCCAGTGTTACCATCACCCCGCTTTCTTTGCTAGTTAGCTTGTACCCAGTATGCTTTATTATTATCGGTTTCCAGACAGAAGGTGGTCCCAATCAGGGTTGGCTTGATGCACCTTCCTCTTGGCACATTTCTCTCTTTCGCCCTCCATTCGTGCGTCTTCAAATTCTACAGCACTGCTGGTCACAGCTGACCTCCAGCTGTAACGCTCAAGGGCCAGGACCTTCCCAGTTCTCGGTGTCTATGCCAGAGTTTTTAAGGTTGGCTTTGAGCCCATCTTTCAATCTCTTTTCCTGCCCACCAACATTCCGTTTTCCATTCTTGAGTTTGGAGTAGAGCAACTGCTTTGGGAGATGGTGGTCGGGCATCCGGACAACGTGGCCGGTCCAGCGGAGTTGATGGTGGAGGACCATTGCTTCAATGCTGGTGGTCTTTGCTTCTTTCAGCATGCTGATATTTCCCTGCCAGTCTTCCCAAGAGTTTTGCAGGATTTTCCAGAGGCAGCGCTGATGGAATCGTTCCAAGAGTTGCATGTGACGCCTGTAGACCACATCTCGCAGGCATAGAGCAGGGTTGGGAGGGCAATGGCTTTATAAACAAGCACCTTGGCCTCCCTACGGATGTCCCGGTCCTCAAACACTCTCTGCTTCATTCGAGAAAATGCTGCACTGGCAGATCTCAGACGGTGTTGTATTTTGGCGTCGATGTTGACTTTTGTGGAGAAGTGGCTGCCAAGGGAGTGGAAATGGTCCACATTTTCTAATGTTACACCATTACGTTGTATTTCTGCCATTGGACAGGGATTAGCCAGTGACTGCTGGAAGAGCACTTTGGTTTCCTCGATGTTCAGTGACAGGCCAAGCTTCTCGTATGCTTCTGCGAAGGTGTTTAGAGTGGCTTGTAGGTCTTCGTCTGAATGCGCACAGACGACATTGTCATCAACATATTGGAGTTCTGTAACAGATGTTGTTGTGACTTTGGTTTTGGTTTTCAGTCAGTCTGATGGCCAGAATACCCTCATGAAAAGCTGGAATGTTAAATAGCCTCTGTGTGTCTGTCTATATATGTTGTGCGTCTATGGCACTGAATGTTTGCCATGTATATGTGCATTGTAATCCGCCCTGAGTCCCCTGCGGGGTTTTATTTATTTGTCGTGTCAGAGCAACCAGTCCATTATATTACATTTCTAACAGAACAAAGCAAACAAACAGAAAAATACTCAACTTGTGAGTTTGGTAGTTGGTTAAATGTCCTTTGACCAGTATCTGGCCACTTGGAGTGCCTCTGGTGTTGCTGCAAGGAAGGTCCTCCATTGTGCATGTGGCAGGGCTCAGGTTGCATTGCAGCAGGTGGTCTGTGGTTTGCTCTTCTCCACACTCGCATGTCGTAGACTCCCCTTTGTAGCCCCATTTCTTAAAGTTGGCTCTGCATCTCGTGGTGCCAGAGCGCAGTCTGTTCAGTGCCTTCCAAGTCGCCCAGTCTTCTGTGTGCCCAGGGGAGTCTCTCATTGGTATCACCCACGGATTGAGGTGCTGGGTTTGAGCCTGCCACTTTTGGACTCTCGCTTGCTGAGGTGTTCCAGCGAGTGTCTCTGTAGATCTTAGAAAACTATGTCTAGATTTAAGTCATTGGCGTGCTGGCTGATACCCAAACGGGATGAGCTGGAGATGTCTCTGCCTTGGTCCTTTCACTATTGGCTGCTACTTCCCGGCGGATGTCAGGTGGTGCAATACCGGCTAAGCAGTGTAATTTCTCCAGTGGTGTAGGGCGCAGACACCCCTGTGATAATGCGGCATGTCTCATTAAGAGCCACATCCACTGTTTTAGTGTGGTGAGATGTGTTCCACACTGGGCATGCGTACTCAGCAGCAGAGTAGCATAGCGCAAGGGCAGATGTCTTAACTGTGTCTGGTTGTGATCCCCAGGTTGTGCCAGTCAGCTTTCGTATGATATTGTTTCTAGCACCCACTTTTTGCTTGATGTTCAGGCAGTGCTTCTTGTAGGTAAGAGCATGGTTCAGAGTGACTCCCAGGTATTTGGGTGTGCTGCAATGCTCCAGTGGGATTCCTTCCCAGGTGATCCTCAGAGCTTGGGATGCTTGTCTGTTCTTAAGGTGAAAGGCACATGTCTGTGTTTTAGATGGATTAGGAATCAGCTGGTTTTCCCTGTAATAGGCAGTAAGAGCACCTAGAGCTTCGGAGAGCTTCTGTTCTACAGTCTCAAAGCTCCCTGCTTGGGCAGTAATGGCATGATCATCAGCATAGATGAAACTCTCTGCCATTACTGCTCACCCTGCGGGGTGAGAAGGGTGGAATATAAATATTGTGAATAAAGTAACAGCGAGTGTGTGGAAAGCAAACCGCGAAAGAGCGAGGGAACACTTTAGAAACAAAATGCAAGCACACACACCCACACACCCCCCAGTTTTGTAATGACTTTTGAGCCATTTACGACCCATGTGCCTGTCCCCACTTCCTTGGCAGGACTTCCACCTTTTGTATGAAGAGGCCCGCTACTACCAGTTGCAGCCGATGATCAAGGAGCTGGAGCGGTGGAAGCAGGAGCGGGAGCAGAAGAAGCACTTCCAGCCCTGCGACTGCCTGGTGGTGCGGGTCACGCCGGACCTCGGCGAGCGCATCGCCCTCAGCGGGGAGAAGGCCCTCATCGAGGAGATCTTCCCGGAGACCGGGGACGTCATGTGCAACTCCGTCAACGCCGGGTGGAACCAGGACCCCACCCACGTCATCCGCTTCCCCCTCAACGGCTACTGCCGGCTCAATTCCGTCCAGGTGAGGCTGAGAGAGTGGGACTCGCCCAAGGTGTCACCCCCCCACCCCATAGTTTCCAGTGTCTGTTTTTAACTTTTGGTTACATGCAAATAGAGACACTTCCAAGTACGTTTGTTTTAATGCTTTAACTTCCTTTCCCCCACTCCTGGATTGCTTCCTTCCTTCCTTCTCTCTTTCCCTCCTCCCTCTCATTCCCTCCTTCCTTCCTTTGTCCCTCTTCCCTTCCTCTTTCGTTCCCTTCCGTCCTTTCCCACTCCTTCTTTCTTTTTCGTCCTTCTTTCTCAGCCTTCTTTCTTCCTTTCTTTCTTCCTTCTCTCTTTCCCTCCTCCCTCTCATTCCCTCCTTCCTTCCTTTGTCCCTCTTCCCTTCCTCTTTCGTTCCCTTCCGTCCTTTCCCACTCCTTCTTTCTTTTTCGTCCTTCTTTCTCAGCCTTCTTTCTTCCTTTCTTTCTTCCTTCTCTCTTTCCCTCCTCCCTCTCATTCCCTCCTTCCTTCCTTTGTCCCTCTTCCCTTCCTCTTTCGTTCCCTTCCGTCCTTTCCCACTCCTTCTTTCTTTTTCGTCCTTCTTTCTCAGCCTTCTTTCTTCCTTTCTTTCTTCCTTCTCTCTTTCCCTCCTCCCTCTCATTCCCTCCTTCCTTCCTTTGTCCCTCTTCCCTTCCTCTTTCGTTCCCTTCCGTCCTTTCCCACTCCTTCTTTCTTTTTCGTCCTTCTTTCTCAGCCTTCTTTCTTCCTTTCTTCCTTCCTTCTCTCTTTCCCTCCTCCCTCTCATTCCCTCCTTCCTTCCTTTGTCCCTCTTCCCTTCCTCTTTCGTTCCCTTCCGTCCTTTCCCACTCCTTCTTTCTTTTTCGTCCTTCTTTCTCAGCCTTCTTTCTTCCTTTCTTTCTTCCTTCTTTCCTCACTTCCCATTCCCTCCTTCTTTCCTACATTCCTTTGTGCCTCTTTCCTTCCTCTTTCGTCCCCTTCCTTAGTATCCTTCTTCGTTCCATCTATCTTTTCCCTTCTTTTTTTCCTTTCTTTCTCATCCTTCTTTCCTTTCCTTTATTCCTTCCTCACTCACGCATTCCTCTCCTTTCCCATTCCTTCCTTTCCTAACTTCCTCCCTTTTCCCCTTATCCCTCTTTCTTTCGTCCCCTTCCTTCCTTTCTTTTACTTACTCACCTACTCTTTTTCTTCCTTCCGTCCTTCCTTCCTTCCTTCCTTCATTCCTTCCTCACTTCCCTTTCCTATCCTTTCGCTCCTTCTTTCCTTCCTTTCCTTCCTTCTTTCCTTTCCTCTTTCTTCCCTCTTTCCTTTTCCTTCCTTACTTTTTCTTTCTTCTTTCCTCTCTTTCTTCCTTTTCTTCCTTCTTTCCTTTCCCTTCCTTCCTTCCTTCCTTCCTTCCTTCCTTCCTTTCTTCTTCTTCTCCTCTTTTCCTTCCTTCCTTTCCTTTCTCTTTTCCTTCCTTCCTTCCTTTTCCTTTCCTTCCTTCTTCTTCTTTCCTTTTCTTCTTTCCTTCTTTCTTCCTTTTCCTTCCCTTTCCTTCCTTCTTTCCTTTCTTTCTTTCTTCTTCCTTCCTTTTCTTTCTTCTTTCCTTTTCCTTCCGTCTTTCCTCTTGGTTTCCTCTTGCCTTCTCTTTCTTCTTTCCTCTCTTTCTTCCTATTCTTCCTTCTTACCTTTTCCTTCTTTTCTTCCTTCCTTTTCCTTTCTTTTTTCCTTTTCCTTCCTTCCTTCCTTTCTCATCATTCTCCCCTCCCTTCTTTGCTCACTCCCTTATTCCCTTTCCTTCTTTGCTTTCTCTCTCCTTGGCCTACCTCCTTCATTCTTCTTCTTCCTTCCTCTCTCCTTCTCTTCCTCCCTTCCTTCCTTTTCTTTTCTTTTATTTCCCTCTTTCCCTCCCTTCTTCTTGCCTTTAAAAGTCAAAGCAGGGGGAATAAAACCAGATTGAGATTTTGTGTATGTTAGCACCATGCTGCTCGCATAATGGTGTTGGGCTGACAAATGCTAATTTTTTTTCCATCAGCGCATACCCCACAGTCTTTTCTTTTCTTCCCTCCCTTCCAAAGCGCCCTTAGGAGGGAAGAGAGAGCACCACAACGACACACATACACACAGATCCTAGACACGAGGAAGAGGGAAAGGGGGGAGCCGCTTCTGCATGCCACTTTGTAGCAAATGCAACAATGTGTAAATGCATAATTTATGTCCCACTCATAATTAAATGATGGAGCCTGCGGGAGGGACTTAAAAAAAATGATCTCTGCACTTTTTCTCTCTCTCTCTCTATCTCTCTTTCTTTCTCTCTTTCTCTCTCTCTCTCTCTCTCTGTCGAAATTGCCCAGAGTATTTTCAACCAAATGTGTTCTACTTTGTACTGAAAAGACTTTCTTTTTTTTCCCTTCAGAAATATATATGTGGGGAGGGCGTTGATTGGGTTCTTTTTTTTCCTCCTCTCTCGAGTCCCTTGTTTTTTTCTTTTTTAAATTAGTATCGGAGACATTAATTCATCTCTTTCTTTCTTTTTCCTTCCTTCCTTCTTTCCTGCGCTGGTGGCACAGCGGGTTAAACCGCTGAGCTGCTGAACTTGCTGACTGCAAGGTTAGCAATTCAAATCTGGGGAGTTGGGTGAGCTCCCACTGTTAGCTCCAGCTTCTGCCAACCTAGCAGTTCAAAAACATTCAACTGTGAGTAGGTCGTCGAAGGCTTTCATGGCCGGAATCACTGGGTTGTTGTAGGTTTTTTCGGGCTATATGGCCATGGTCTAGAGCAGTGGTTCTCAACCTGGGGTCCCCAGATGTTTTTGGCCTTCAACTCCCAGAAATCCTAACAGCTGGTAAACTGGCTGGGATTTCTGGAGTTGTAGGCCAAAAACATCTGGGGACCCCAGGTTGAGAACCACTGGTCTAGAGGCATTCTCTCCTGACGTTTCACCTGCATCTGTGGCAAGCATCCTCAGAGGTAGTGAGGTCTGTTGGAACTAGGAAAAAGGGTTTATATATCTGTGGAATGACCAGGATGGGACAAAGGACTCTTGTCTGCTGGAGCTAGGTGTGAATGTTTCAACTGACCACAGCCCCAGCAGACAAGAGTCCTTTGTCCCACCCTGGTCTTTCCACAGATATATAAACCCATTTTCCTAGTTCCAACAGACCTCACTACCTCTGAGGATGCTTGCCATAGATGCAGGCGAAACGTCAGGAGAGAATGCCTCTAGAACATGGCCATATAGCCCGAAAAAACCTACAACAACCCTGTGAGTAGATCAATAGGAAGGTAACAATACTCCATGCAGTCATGCTGGCCACATGACCTTGGAGGTGTCCATGGACAACGCCGGCTCTTTGGCTTAGAAATGGAGATGAGCACCACCCTCCAGAGTTGGACACAACTAGACTTAATGTCAAGGGGAAACCTTTATCTTTACTATATTTTAAATTGTATGTTGATGTTTTTATGTCAAGCCAGTTTGAATCTCCTTCGGGAGAGATGGTTGTTGTTGTTGTTATAATGCTTATTTATATCCCACGTTTTCTCTCCATACGGAGACTCAAAGTGTCTCACAATTAAAAGCATTGCCGTACAACTTAAAATATAACTTAAAATAGACAAATACACAAATAATAAAACAGTTTAAAGTGAGGAATAATAATAATAATAATAATAATAATAATAATAATAATAATAAGGAAAAGGTTGTCCCCTGACATTAAGTCCAGCCGTGTCCGACTCTGGGACTTTGCTGCTCATGTCCATGTCTAAGCAAAAGAGCCGGCGTTGTCCATAAACACCTCCAAGGTCATGTGGTCGGCATGACTGATTGGAGTGACCTTACCTTCCCACCAGAGTGGTACCTATTGATCTACTCACATTTGCATGTTTTTGAACTGCTAGGTTGGCAGAAGCTAGGGCTGACAGTGGAAGCGCACACCGCTCCCTGGATTCAGGGGGCTCTGAATAATAATAATAATAATAATAATAATAATAATAATAATAATAATAATTTCCATGGTTCCAAGGATGATCCATCTCCTAACCCAAACCAAAATCCCCTATCTTCATTTCGTGGTTGTGTCCCATTCAGCAATTGTTGTTGTTGTTGCTGTTGCTGTTGTTGTTGTTGTTGTTGTTATTGTGGACTTAATGCCAGGAGAATACCTTTACCTTTACCTTATCGGAGGCAAAGGAAATTAACCAAAACGATAGGGAAGGATGCACTGATGGGGCATCACTTTGGGATGCATAGCATTGATATTTCCCTTTGCAAAACATAGGATATAAATAAACATTATAATAATAATAATAACAGCAACAACAACAACAACAATCTCTCCCGAAGGAAATCCAAAATGGCTTGACAGAAAAACATCAACATACAATTTAAAATATAGTAAATATAAAAGTTTCCCCTTGACATTAAGTCTAGTTGTGTCTAACTCTGGAGGGTGGTACTCATCTCCATTTCTAGGCTGAAGAGCTGGCGTTGTCCATAGACACCTCCAAGGTCATGTGGCCGGCATGACTGCATGGACCACCGTTACCTTCCCATAGAAGCGGTACTTATTGATCTACTCACAGGGTTGTTGTAGTTTTTTTCCGACTATATGGCCATGTTCTAGAGGCATTCTCTCCTGACGTTTCGCCTGCATCTATGGCAAGCATCCTCAGAGGTAGTAAGGTACTCACAGTTGCATGTTTTCGAACTGCTATGTTGGCAGAAGCTGGGCCTAACAGTGGGAGCTCACTCCACTCCCTGGATTTGAACTGCCAACTTAGTCAGCAAGTTCAGCAGCTCAGCGGTTTAATCTGCTGCACCACCGTATACAAATATGCAAACATTAAAACAGGATTTAGTATAAACAGTATTTTAAAAACTCACAATTAAAATATATTCAAATATATTCAAAGTTTCAAAAAGAGTGATGACTACCCATCCAAGTTGTAAATACTGAATGTAATGGATTCTAAAGGCATGGATTTAGTATGAAGCACCTTCCTAGGACTCATAACTTCCTAAACATCCTTGAT